TGGAAACTCTTTCAGATCCGACTAAACGCAGTCAACATTAGCTCTGGCGTTGACAGTGGCCACTGCTGCCTGACATAGCAACTCAGGGATCTGTGCACAATAAATCACTGTCATTTATGCCGCCTGTCTTTCCCTATCAACTTCTGATTTGATCTGATCTAAGTACATACATTTTTAGACATTCAGTGGGAACCTTTGGGACCATACAGCATACTCATGAGCCGCAGCACGATGTCGGCAACGTTACAAAGGAACCGGTGATAAAAGACTACCATGCCTAGAAAACGTCGCACCTTGCACTTGGAGTTAGGTAGAAGGAACCCACGGACGCAGAGGACGCAAACCACTGGAGTCAAAATGAGGAATTTCGAGAAATTCCAGCAAAAGCACACCAAAACGCACTTCCACGAGTTTATGATTATATCATACGTGTCGAGTCGGTCAAACACCAAGGCCAGGTGTTCCTTTTACTCTTCAGTATTCCAACTAGCCACCAATAGTTAATCTTTGTATGTGTAAACAAACGCCAGTCCACGTAATACCTGCCTGAGAAATGGCTGAAAAATTTGGGCAACATTGCGAAGGCAGGAAGGCATGCGGTAAATTTAAACAGACCGTTTCGCAATATCCACAAGAGCGACAGAAATCTGATGAAAAATGCGCACCAGGTTAATCTTCGAGCAATCTACTGTTCCGAAGAGGCTTCAGGCAAAGTCCCGAAGATAAAACACTGGGTACCGATTGGAAATTGTGATTTTGTTGAGGGAAATGCAGTCCATACAGGGCCGCCAATTGCCCGATGTCGGCCTGCACACCATATGCTGTAGGGATGTCCAGGTGCTCTCGGGCGGTCGAATAAAGCCCAGTTGCTGCATATGTTCAGAGTTAATCTTGGCGATCTGCAGACGGGTAGGCAACAGTCGTCTAGGACAGGCAAAAGCAGGAGCACCTGGTGAGTGAATGTGGTGCACAACACCTTTAAAAACCTCGCCGTTTTATCACTGGTGGTTGGCGATGCTCGGGTGCTGAGGAAGTAGCTCCCGGTGTGGACAAGTAATAATACAGCTAAATTACAGGGATTTTTAAAGAGAGTCAAGTCGCGAAACGATAGATCAGTAATAAGATTAAGAAGTCAAGAACGCCGGCAGTCCACCTGGAGGTCAATCTTGGCTAGGAAGTCCGAGCTACGGACAGCGTGAGGGAAAAAAATTACGAAGGCCGATATTCAAGATAAGGGATAGACTGCATGGCGTGGAAATTGAAGAAGAGCTGACAGCTTGGAGATAGTGACCAGAGCTGGGGCGGCGGTGGTCAGTCAGAGTGAGAGAAACCGCACTGTTCTCGGCTCCACTGTCCACGACGAAAAATTTTCTAGTCAAGTTTTCGCAGACATGAAAGATGCGACCATTACCGGAGCGTCATAGAAGGCGGTCGCCTCTATTCTTTGGCAGACTGTTTTTCCTGTTTGAATTTGAAAGAACAGGAAGGAACAAAGCTGGACCTTTGTGTCGAAGTCTTTATGGTACCAGCAAACATAATCGATTCAAGGTCATGAAAAGTTATGAGCGCGGGGGGATGGGCTGGATGACTGACGAGAAGTGAGGCGCGCAATCTGGAATTAGAGGGAAGCCATCCTATCTGTTATAACCGCCATCTGCGTCACAAGTCGCTCATATACGATTGGAAAAGAAGAAGTTGAGATCTCTGTGATAGATAGCGACTTGAGCCGCCACACCTTCAACATCCCGACCGCCACCTCGGCCGGCCATGATTCCGAAAGCTTATCTGATCTGGACGACGAAGTAGTCTGGACATCCGTTGATTGTCGCTCCAGGGAAATCTCTCTAGCAAAAATGTCTCCTGAGGACACTAAAAAATAAACTCCCCCGCCCAAGTGTCCTACGGAATTCGTGGTTAAAGTTTGTAGCGGTCTTATTAGTGGCGGTACTCGGATCACTAAAATCATTAGACCAAATACCATGTTGGAGGTAAAACGCAGAAGGCACCTGGGAGAGACATTTATCGTGTACAGAACTCCCTGTTGCTATTTCAGGCAGCAGGGGCCATTGGCGAAGCCAAGGCCAGTGTTGACGGCGTCTAGACAGGCCTGAGATAGCATGAGACTGTGGTGGCGGCTGCTTAAGTAGGATTGGTAAGCGAGCTCAAGTGGTTTGCTGTTGATCTGTTGCAATTTGCCCGAGGGGATGTCGCCTGTGTTGGTCCAGTTCAGTAAATCTTTTTCAAAATCTTGGCATGTCCTGAAGAAAAGTCGCTTCACGAGGCTCCTCCGCACTTTGTATTCATTAATGGAAAAGTGTCACAGAAACATAGTTATTTCACATATACCGCTGCATAAAAGAGGTGGAAAACCACAGAGACCTAGGTGTGTGGAGAACCGCGAACTTGCTGCCATCAGAGCACTGTAAGAAGGCAGTCCAGAAAGCAAATCTTACGCTGCACTGGATCAAACGAGCGTTCAAAGTATTAATAAATAAATTGTATATTTAAGGCCCAAGGGGCCCCTTCATTACAAACTTAGTGCTGTCCTAAAAAAAACACAAAGTTGGCATTCGCAGCTGCATGTAAACAACTGTGCATCAACATGAAGGAGTAGTATGCTATACGTAGTAATATAGGAAATCTGATCCGACTAACAACGGACCCTTATGCAGTAAAAAACCTCCTACATCGATGGCAGAGTTCAGCGAGCCACAGATTTTCAAACAAAATATAGAAGAAAAAACTGCTTGGATGAATATGGTATGATATAATGCAGTTAGATGGGATGATGGTGTTGAGGGTTCGGAACGCTTATTCTCGTGGGAGAAATCATATAGCATCATGGCGGTGAGATAAGAAGGGACACTAGAAGTCACGGTAACATCACCAGACTACACCGTCCACCGACAAGTTGGCGACACCGTAAGAACCCGCCATCTTTGATCAGGGACGTCTACGTTCTGATATATCATTTGGGCGCCTTCCAAATCTAAAGTGCTTTTGCACATCGACCATCTCGGTGGGCGCAGGAGCTTGTTGAGGGGATCTTGGAATAGCTTATGGTCTGCCATCACTCGATCTGAGGAACTGTTGGCTTCGGATGCTGGAAGTCCATGAATTATCAGATTTTGCGATCTGTTGGTTGAACCTCTCGATATTACCGTAATTTCGTGCTCCGGGGAAGATAATATTTGCCTGTCATGGTCTAACGATGGCGTAGGTAGCGTACTATCGTCCCTCTCTTTCGATCATGTCTCCTTGGCGTTACGGCTGCCCTATGCCAGAAAAGGAATTGGCCATATTTCCAAAGCGCTGATTTTGGCAGGGTAAGACCTACTCGTGCAAGCTCCATTTCTTGGCTCTGTGGTGTTTTCCATCGTACATGATATCCACTGATGTGGAATCTTGGACTTCTTGTAATCGCTAACCTTGAAGACTCTCTGTATGCAAGCACATCAGGAGTAACACCAACAACATCAACATTGTTTGTTTGAACAGATTTGGTCAGTTATCCATAAGGATAACTGGGGATTTCGTTGCTTTCCGTGATGCAGCGTTCTGAATGGGGTCTTCAAAGAAAATGCCTATTAACCTTAAACATAACGAACTATTGCATAATAAGTTTGCGATTCCCCTCTGATTATCATACACAGGTAAATCTTGGCGAAGTGAACGCTATTCAGCATAATTTATGCGTCCTTTGTCCTTTCACATAATCATCTTACAGCTAGAGTCATCATTTCTGATTGGGAATAGATCACAGGATACATATAATATGAGATAAACGGTCGAGATGGCAAGTCCTCTTATTTGGTGACTTGATCATAGATTATTCTGAATTTGCGTTCGTTAGAGTAATAACGCTCCGGATAAAAGGTTCAGGCATCAGAAACTTTGCCTCACTTACTCAGTTGATGCTCATCGTTAGTTATTTTTGGCAAAATTTCTCATGATCCTGGGAAGGTTTGACTCACATTTGTCAGGTTTAGTGAGTTTTTCCAGCTTACCGCTGTTGATCTATTTTTACTTCCATTGCTACTTCGCATTGTTTCGTCTAATTTGCCCCCTTTATTAGATTACAGATTTCTTGATACCGCTGCTTCCGCCTACACAACTTGGTATGTACCTGTTTTACTTCCAAGAAATTGGCATTTATATTGCTATTGTGTATTAAACTGTCTCATCCCAGCTTAACAGCTGAGCGGCATCCATCATGAAAGCGAATAATATTCAGTATTCCTTGATTTTGTTTATATTCTACGCCCTTATTATTGAATTATCGCCGGTTTTCGTTATGTGACTTTAACGATTACGCCATGTCTCCGATGGTTCATTCAATTTGGCTAAATTTTTAATGCCAATTGTATTCTAGCCCTCCCATTTTCCCATTTCGCCCTCTCTTTCTTTGCTATCCTTTCAGGTTAGTAAAAGTAGTGATCTCTCATTAACCTATACTTCTCTGATTTTTAGATGTATGTGATTCAGTAACTGCTTATTTCGGTTTACTAGTAATGCCTGCTTGCCTTTGTCTGTAAACCGTTCCGCTGTCTGCGCACTCCAGCATCGGGATTCAAAATATTGCTACCTGTGACACTTTTCAACTGTGGTATTTTTTGAACCTTAGTTTTACTTGATAATTTGAGTGAAAAAATAGGACTCCGGGGCCGTGTGACCTTGTAAAAGGCGGCGTATCTATAACGATAGTTGTGTGTTTAAAATGGATAGGGGATCAAAAGCATACAAAACATTTATTTCGTAAGCACATTCCATTATATCATAACGATAATAGTCAATTTGCTTCCGAAAATACATTTGATTTTGACAGCAATGGTCATCAGGCATTCACTTTCAAGGATGTTTCAGGAGATGAAATAAACTTGAAAGCTGCGGAACTGTTCGAATATGAGATAATTATCATAACTAAGTGTCCATTGAAAAACAGTCCTTTAACGCTTTCTCCAATCAAATCGCTACGATTGTTAGTGATTACTGGAAATGACATGGACGTGTTTCCATCTAACCTTTCGGCTCTGAAAAATCTCACTTATTTGGACTTGTCGAATAATTTTATTTTGGGCATACCCCCAGAGATCGGACAACTGACGGCATTGCGAGTTTTGAATTTGACGGGAAACAGGTGCGGCGCTGTTCCTTCCGAAATAGGGGATCTTAATCGTCTTCAGGTCTTAAATTTGAGTGATAATAAAATATACCGGCTACCATCTACAATTTGTTCGCTTCAAAGCTTGCTCTGTCTGGACTGTTCTGCCAACTCTCTCAGTTCCCTTCCATCAAACATTTCCGATCTTTTTAATTTGCAAGTTCTTCGTGCTTCGAATAACCAGATCACCCAACTTCCTAAAAATTTTGGAATGCTTAAATGTTTGAAAATACTCCATCTTGATAGTAATCGTTTTGATTTTTTGCCTTCAGAAATATTTGGGTGTGAAGCACTCCAGGAGTTTGTTTTTTCTTACAATCAAGCTTCTGGTATAATTTCGCCCGAGTTTTGTAGACTGACTGACCTAGAAGTGCTCTGTTTGTCATTTAATAAATTCACGCAAATACCTAGCAAATTGTCCTCGTTACAGAAGTTACGACACCTTAACCTTCAAGGAAATTCTATTGGATATTTCCCCGAATCACTCCTTACTCGTCTGAAGCATCTGCAGGAACTAGATCTCTCGGGATGTTTTCTTACTTTTATCCCTGATGCTATCGGAACATGCTCAGAATTACATCTTTTGGATCTGTCAAGGAACGAACTGAACAATATTCCCATGGAAGTTTCCTCTTTAAAAAAACTCGTTGGTTTGTTTCTTTCCGGAAACAGCATTGAAATCCTTCCAGATTGGGTCTCGGAAATTAAAGGATTGATAACGCTAGAGATTCAAGACAATCAACTCGTTAGTCTTCCCCAGAGCTTTTCCAAATTACTGAAAACTCTTCGTGTACTGGACCTATCCAGAAACAATTTTACTTCCCTTCCGAATTCCGTTTGTAGCGAACAAAGTCGTCTCAACTCTCTTAGTGTTGACGAAAATCCCCTCTTGTCCGTTCCTGTAGATTTGGGTAATTTGAGGGCGTTGACGCATTTGTCAATTTCGAATTGTATTAACTTGTATGAATTACCCGAAAGTCTTGGTGAATTAATCAGGCTTCAATCTCTTAATATTTCTGGAAACAACTTATCTACATTACCAAGATCTCTCCATTTACTTGAGTCCCTGAAATATCTAGATATTTCACGTAACAATTTTAAACGTTTTCCAATCGTTGTGTGCTTTATTCTCCATCTTAGAGTTTTAATTTTCGACTTTCCTTGTCGTGTTTGCTGTCTGCTTGAGCCCGACCCATCTGGTTGGTTTGAAAGAACCGCCATGATTGAGCCTGATGCGTCAATGGACAAACTTGGAAAAGAATATCTCGATGAACCAATAGAGTCCCCAATCGCCGAAACCAACATGACCGTTGATGAGGCCCTCGATGCTGAGGCTGAGGCTGACAAGCTTCAAAATGTTCCCTTTAAGGATATCCCAACATTAGTATATCAAAGGCGGCCGCCAGTCATTCCCGCTCTATTAAACAAACTGAGATTTCTTGTTCATTTGTCATTACGGAAGAATGGCCTTTACTTCCTTCCAAACATTTTTGATAGGCTGAGTCATTTAAAGCGCCTCTACTTAAGTGAGAACAATCTACGGCATCTCCCTTCGACGCTTTACTCCTGTAACGGCCTGACACACTTGGATTTAAGTCATAATAAAATGTCTGTCCTGGATGAACGCATAACAAATTTCAAGCACTTAAAACTGCTTCATTTGGGCAACAACAATTTTCCCCTCTGCCTTGAAGAAATTATCAAAAATTCAAGCATCGAAGGACTTTTTAAATGGGTTATTGCAGAATCCGAAAATTCAAGTAAGTTCTATCAATGTGTGAAATTGATGTTGCTTTTTAGTATTCTTCAGTGAAATCCGATTGACTACTAAGCACTTTTATTTTACAGTTTTAACCCAATTTTTACACGGCTCATTAAAATAATGCAATTTACAGTACTTATATTGGTTACCTGCAGGCTAAACGCCGAAGACTATGGTTTTTATGGAATCAAAAAGCACAGATTTTGCCGCATATCTATCTTTATTATCACTGTATTCCTCTTCACTCACCTTAGGGGGATGCAACGTTCCCTGTTTGAATTCCAACTAATTTAACCGATGTCAGTAAATCATAACTAATATTATTAAAATATTTCCGATTAGAAAGCTTAACATAGATGAGGTTGTAATACTGATTATCTTGCAGCATAATCCAAAAGTATTGCCGTCATAACAAGATACCGGCTTTTGAACGCGTTTCTTATTGGTCACTGAGAAGGCTCACTTGGCAAAAAATAATGCTTAAATATTATGCATAATTTTCAAATAACTTGAGTGCAACCTGCAGTTAATTTTTTGTTTGAAATATACAGGTGGTATACTGCACAATTCATCAGGAAAATTATGTATTTGTCTATACCCCTAATTAGACAGCACGCAGGGTTCCTGAAATTAACCACCAAGTGTGCGTTGTTTTGTCATACCGATCGCTCAGTCGTCACCTGACACTCTTATGTTGTTTGTAACTAAATAGCTTCGATGCCCGATATGTCACCAACTGGGTACATGAAAATTAAGCAGCTGTGACCTCTGCTGTCCTTTTCTTAGCTAGTTTATCCTAGAAATCCAAGCGGCTGTTTTTGTCGATTTCTTTTATTCAGGGCTATATTTTCGATTGCAGATGCTCGTGTATTTTCCACTCTTGAAGACTTCTTACACATCCAATGTAGGTCTTAAACATGCTTGGATAAGCAGTTGAATAACGGCTGCACTTTTAGATCCTTTCTGATGGTTTCGTTACCCATATCGGTAGATTTTAATAGTTATTTTTTAAGAAACATTTTACAACGGCAGACCTCCCCATTTATTGAAATTTGTAAATGGAGATTTTTCTGCATATGACTTCTTTATTTTTTTGAGCTGATCTCTCCTAAGTCGCCGGTCTCTGGTGGTGAACGGTGCGCTTGCATTTTCATTAGCAAGCTCGCATTGTTACGTCCATGCCGGATTTAGTAAAAGAGAGCGTACATCAAATACATAACTTTTAGCCGATTTTTAAGCCCGCAATTTGTTTGAAAGCTCGCACTGTTTAGTTTCGGATCTAAAGAGATCCCACCGTTGGTACTTTGAGGGTATGTGATGTACAGAATGTACTGCATTTTTATTCGAAGATGTCTGCCTGAACGTGTTGCTGGTCTGCTCGGTCTGTAAGAATAGAAAAGTTAAACACACAGTAGATAAAATGGATCCGACGAAGCAAAGGGAGATCGGAATGGCCTTTTCTGGTTTGTTAGTCGTCATCAGTCAGTCATACGCAATCTACTAGGTTGGAACCCCGAGATTCGAATTCGGGACCTTTAGTCATTGAGTTGACCACTCTACCATTGCACTACCGGCCCATTGCTTTGTAGGTTGAGATCGCGGATATGATGACAGAGGAAAAAATAATTTAAATGACCAAAGGTCCCGGGTTCGAAGCTCGGAGTTCCAACCCTTGAGATTGCGTATGACTGGCTGATGACGAATAACAAGCCAGAAATGGCCATTACGGTCTCCCTTTGCTTTGTCGGATCCATTTTAGTACAAAGTCATTTTTTCCAGAATATGCTTATTGCGGGCGGTCAGAAAAAAGCTCGATCAAAATTCGGCATCTTGACACGACCGAAATATCTTGAGATGAAGCTGCTCGATAATCAATATTACACTCCTACTTAAGTAATTTGTTTGAATCGAAGATACATTTCAGGATTATGGTGGACATTTCATAAGATAGGGAATATCCTGTACATAATAACAAAGGTATACTCTCACTAGATTTTAGAAATGTTTCAAACATCTGCCTCACCTATAGTGAGAGCTTGGGTATATGAACTTTTAAAGAACGATCAA